TGCATACTGTATTTACCTGTTAAGTATGGAACAGTATTATAAAGTGTTACCCATTATGGTGTGAAACTCAAAGTTCAGAAGGCATTATTATAAAAACTATTCAGTAAAATATCTTCAAACTCAGGATATAGTAAGTCTAATAGTTGGATTATCACATGGTATCGAGCTTTCTAACCAATGTATTGACATTGACAAGATAATTTGCCTTCAATTTACCACTGTGATTTGTCTGGCAGTCACTATGTGTGCCATCATAGTCAATTTAATGAAAACCCTTCAGATTTGAGAATGGTATAATACTAAATAATGAATGTTATTGCCCTGTATGCTGGGTGGAATGGTGGTGCAGTGGTTAGTCCTGTTGCCTTGCATATCTGGGAGTGTTTGAGTTTCCTCCATGGTTCCATGTGTGTGGAGTTTGCATGTTCACCCCATGTCGTTGTGGCATTTCCTCTGGACGTTTTGGTTTTCCCCCCACAATACAAAAACATGCTGAGGCTACTTTGAGTTACCAAATTGCCTGTAGATCTGACTGTGCCCTAAGATGGGGTCATGCCCCATCTTGGGTTGTTCCCTGTTTTGAGCCCATAAGCTCTGGACCCCCCATGACCCTGAATAGGACAAGTGTTTATAGAAAATGGATGGATGGATGAATTATGCAAAAGTGATATATAGGGGAAGAATGGGTCCTTAGTGGAAGTGCTATGGCAGAACATCTCCAGGATTGAGGGTTAAGGTTTGTGTGCTCTCCCTATATTCATGTGGGTTTCCTTCAGATACTTTGGTTTATGCCTATGCTGCATACACATGCGGTGAAGTGAACTGCCATCTCCAAGTTGCCCAATGTGTGTGATTGTGCGAGTGTGTGCACCATGTGACAGACCTACCCAATGCGTTCCATGTCCTGGCAAAATGATTATGGTAGATGGATTGATGAATGAATTGATTATTGTTTTTTTTTAAAGGTATACTGTATTTATTTCCATTAAATAATATGACAAACTAGATTGTATTATCTCTTAGTCTATTTGTAGATGATTACCCATTTTCATGGGCACTGCTTAATTCATAAATGATATGGAAAAACCCAAAGAATGCTGGAGAAATGCAGTAAAACGAATAATGAATTATTAAATAGAAAGTTGAATCAAGTTGTTGAAGTGAATTATATATCATAATTCTTCTGTCTTCCTGTTGCATGTTTATATATTTGATTTGGATAAATATACCTGATATCATAAATTTTGTTCAGAACTAATTTACAAAAAATTAAAAATCCTTGGTAACACTAAAAATACTAAACTCAAGAAATGAATTAATCAAAATCCACAATTTGATGCAAAATCATTTATCTTTCTATCATTAAAGACTGTGTTTCCTATCTGTAATACTGGTTTTCTCCATTTTGACTTGTCACAGTTGCGGCATCAGTAAGTGACGTTAC